ATGGGTCTGAATTGCAGCTCTGATGCTGAACATCTGTGTTAGCACTGGCAAGTCATTTCGCTTCTCTGGGCCTTAGTTTCCTCCTCTTAGGCTATCTCCCTGGTTGTTCTGAGGACCAGATGGGATAATGTCAATAAATACTGCCACATTGATTATAAGGTTCTGGAACCCATGAAGGCTGTGAATGATGTTATTCTCTTTATCAGCAAATCCCCTCCCAAAAGATGCTCTAAGAGGGGCCAAGAAGTTTATCCTGGGTGACTGGGGGACACAGTGTCCCGAAGGAGCGCCATCTCAAGGGAGAGGGCCTGGCTGAAGGGAGGGGTTGGAGAGTTAATGGGCCACAGCTCAGCACCTGCCTGGCTCCTCCCTCTGATGCTGGGTTTGGAAGACATAAAGGGGACACTATGGGAGACATCAGGGTATACAGGGCTTGGCAGGTGAGTGGGCTGGGAGTAAAGTTCCCAGAGCTCAGCAAAGACTGTGGGAGACAGGGGCAGGGACGTGAGAGAATGTAGAACCTGGGCCAAGGATTCAGAAAGACAGATTGGGTGTGCACAGAAGCAGGCACCTAGGATCCAGCTGTGAGACCTTGGGCCAGACATCCTGGCAGGCTTGGACAATGGGGTATCCTCACAGACCGAATCATCTTGGCGAAGGCCTTCTCACAGAAGACAAGGCTGATGACAGCAGAAACTGTAGGAAGCACTAGCAAGCTATGAGCTCTTCCATGCTTCAGCCTCTTGCGTAAGCATTGTCTAAGCATTCTCTCCATAAGGAAAGCCCTATGAGGTTGCAGATGAGGGGAAAAAGCTCACAGGAGGAAAGTGACTGGCTCCAGGTCACACAGCTGGAGGTAGGAGCAGGGATTGGGATCCAGTCCTTTCTGACCCCCAAGTGCACACACTTAACCACTAAGGTGCACGTGACATGATGAACGTGAAGAACCTGGCAGCAGATGCTCCACAAGTGGGAGAGCCCTCGCCCTCTCCCTCAGGGGCATGGACCCCACCACATCTATCTCTCAACCCACACTCTGCCAAACACAGAGGGGACACTCAGAAAATGGCTCATTGCATTGGGATCCATCAGAGACCTTTTCCTCAAACCACTCACTGTACAGATGAAAAAACCAAGGCTCAGAAGCCCAAAGTCACGGCCAGTGGATGGCAGAGCTGGACCAGGAGCCAGGACTCAGGTGCCAGGTGGGCTCCGTCCT